TCAAATGGTGTTGTAATGTTGCACTAGTTTAACGTTAGCACAAATAACAGAGGATTCGTGAAAACCTAATAAAAAAATTGTCAGGTTTGCATGAAAATTTTTAAAATTTTTTATAGTACATTTTTTAGGCCTCCGACATGAGCAAAATTTTATGTGAAGTAAATTAACAAAAAAAACAGAATAAAAATGTATTTTTTTAGAACCACTAGAATTGGTAAGGAGAAAAGCAATTTTTTTAAAGAAAAATCACTACCTTGCAAAACACAGTTTGTTAAGGACTTGAAATATCATAGTTTTCTGTTTATCTTTAAAAATCATATTTATAGTTCTATAAGGTATGTAGCAAAACGAACCTATTCGGGGGTTTCCCAAACACGCACGCATGTTCTCCTATTCACGAATACGTTTGTTTGGATATGTTCTCTCATATACGGACGAATACGTTGTTTTTTAGTGTTTTTTATTAAAATATTTTTCTATTTTTTTAATTTTAAATCGTGGTTGGCTGAGAATTTTAAGATGTCTCCAAGCAAAAGTTGTTCGAATTTTTATTTTACATGACATATATTCTTTTACAAGGTTTTTACAGATAAATTAAAAATGAACTTATATTGATGTATAGTTTTATAAACCAGTTTTCGCAAAGCTTAGTTTTTACCAAACTGCTAAAAATGACTTATAGTTTATAAATCAGTATTAATTCAAACTGTTTTTTTTAACATCTTTCGAGTTCATCATGCAGTCCCTAAACATTATCTTATTTGAGTAATGCTTTTTGTCAATCTAGTTAGAAGAATTTATAGTCTTATAACATGGACTTTGCTGGAAATGATTTTCTTGCATATTTTGAGAATCACTAGATTTTTTTCGCCTTTTTTATCGGAAAACACTCAAAAAGATTATTTTTTATGTGTCAAAAATAAACATTTAAGTTCAATTTTCCATTCTATAAAAAAATATTTGGTTTTGTCATTTTGTTAAGTTTTTACGAACTCAATGTTAAATGATATTCCAGACGGTGTTGTGTTTTTATTGCTCAAACAAAACCAGGACTTTAACTTACACGCTAGTGTATGTGTCCTACAATAAATTGATATTTTCAAAAAGAGAGAGATGTTTTTTCCTGCAAATAGATGTGTTGACAACAAAAATAATATAATATTAGTTGGTAAGCTGGAAGATGTCGATAGTTGGCGTGAGATGGAAAAAACAGCAACGTGTATCCATGATGTTGTAGGGAAATCGTTGGCAGGGTACACAGGCTATACATATTTGTATTAACAGATAAAACCTGTCATGAACAAGCACAATGCCTCGTATTTGGGTCGCTCATAAACGCGTTGCATGCTAAAGTCCCTTACGATATTTTTCTTTACGGTACTGATCAAATTTTTTTTTTTAACTTGCACCGTTGGTCGTATGTAGTTGTCGCTAAAAATAGAGCAAATGAGCGCTATACCGAGTATGTTTATAGTCGTGAAATTTGTAAAATTGTATGTCATATAACAAACGTTCTGGTTAAAAATATCTACGATTTAATCCGATAAAACTCGCAAAATATGTTTGTGTACACGCTGAACTTGCAAGACCAAAGTCGGTCAAAACAACTCGCATGAAAACGGATCCTCTCATCAAACCCCTCGACAATTATGGATCTAATAATTTTGGGCACAAACATTTCGACGGTTGGGATAATCAATAAATTTTCAAATTGTGAATACATGAATTTTGAAAATGAAATTGGATCGGTTAGATAAATTTTATCGATAATGATTTTGTTAACGAATAGGAGACGATCGTGTGCGATAATGGGTCAAATGTATGGTACGTGAACACAAAGGAGGAATAGGTTGACTTTACGATGTCTAGAAAAAACGTTGTTGACCCTTTGAAGATGTTAGCAAACTCGAGTGAGGTATGCCCGAAACAAGACAGGGATGCAAAAAATAAAAAAGAAAAACGAAAAGTGTGCGCGTGATATTTTATTGGGAGAAAATAACTGCTCGCACTCGTGATGCATGACTACTATGGTCGAATGCGAGTAAAAAAAAGAGGCAAGATCATAGTGACACTTTTAACAGCAGTGAAGGTCACTGGTACAAAAATGAATGCGTTGTTGAGTATCAAGGAAAAATTCATGACCCCCGTAGGTTCAAACAACATTTAGAAAATAATTAGTATACGCGAATGATAGTTTGGTGCATGTTCAACTTTACTATCTTCTTTATAAATGTGAGAAATATTGTTGACATTCGAACATGGAAAATGCGACACAGATGAAGTGATCCGTACTAAGCAATATCATCGGTAGGGACAAAACGAAGTACCGTAAGTGGATGACAGACAAAAAATGGTTGTAGATTATCCATACTGTGAAGACGGGAAGCAGGCAAGAAATTTTGAAGCACTATTATTCAATGCATAAAATAAAGAGAGTAAGTTAGCATAACACATCAGCCATTAACGTAATATATTAAACAATCAATGTGCTTCATTGATAACACGGGTTCATCAAATCCTTACTCAGAGTAGACACGTGCGAGAGAAAAAAAACAATGATATTTTGTACTAGTTGGAACAAAATATGTTAATGACTAAATTAACTGTGTCAAAAAACACATTCTATAAATGAAGTTTAAATATTTGAAAGTTTAAAAGACATGAATTTTAAAGTGTGAAATGAGTCCGATATTGTGTTAAAAGGAAGGAGACAAAGATCGTCAACAAAATATTATGTGTCGAACGCAATTACGTTTTATGCTAGGCTACCAGAGTGGCACGGGGTCACTTGTCCGGCCGGGCCAAAAAAAAAAAAAAAAAAAAAAAATGTTTAAATTTATGTTTTATTTTAAATTTGGTGAAAAATTTTGATCTAACCCTGAGGCAAACGTTGTTCTGTTTATCTTTTTGCACAACATAGTTTTTTTTCGGAGTTTTCGGATTTTTTTTTTTTTTTTTTTTTTGTGACCTTCCTTGGTCCTTGCACGGGCTGACCACCCGGGACCCGGGCGGCCCGGCTGGTAGCTTAGGTTTTATGAGTTTATTTTATTATTATTAATTTTTTTTTGGTACGTGAATACCTACGTAGCACGGCGAACGTGTTCTCACGTTCGTGTGAATAACTTGCGAACATGCTCGGGCGAACATATTTTTTTTTCGTAATATATATATATATATATATAGGGTCACTAGCCCGTACGTACGGAGGTTCCCGGGAAGACCTTTGTACCAGAGTTCGTAACCAGGATTTTTAGGAAGACCTGTAACTTAACTAACCACACACTTTTCGAAAAACAACCAACCATAACCACTGTATATACCTGGCCTACCGCACCTTGACCTACCTCCAACTGATCCGAAAAAAAGAAACGTGTACCTCTACATGCCTCTACCTGAACCTCTGCGGACTGTAACTGCCCATACCCGCCCTTGGATTTTTTTTTCTTTCAAACCAACCGTGACTAACTGAACCCAATCCATGTGCTAACCACCCGTACCATACCCAACCTAAGTTTTTCTTACCCGTGTCCACCCGTAACCGGCCCCACCTACCCACAATTGTATGTGCCTACCTGTAACCGCCCGCACCTGTTACCCACCCTCCCCCTAATTGCCCCTAACTGTTCTAACCACCCCTAAAACACCCCAACCGACTTTAACTGCCCTCACAACCTTTGGGCTGTGGTCGGGGTCCAACAGTAACAATTGTTGCAGTCGTTGTCGCAAATGCAGCGGTAATCCGATGTGGTGCATCTGCTGCTGCAGCACCTTATGGAACCCTTGCAGCAGCTGCAGAAATGATGTCAATGCAACAACTGTCGTACGCACACACAAACACACATGAAGTTGATAAACACATAGTGTGACACACAGTATTACACACACTCACACACACACTTTCACACATACAAAGATATAGTATGGAAAAAAAAAAAAACATGAAATTCACCTATAGCGGTAGTCACATGTAGACCATGATGTGGTGCATCTGCTGCTGCTGCAGCATATGCAACCCCTGCACAAACCGCAGAATTGGTGTGAGTGCAACAATTGTCCTACGCACACACACAAACATGCACGAGGTTGATAAACACATAGTGTGATACACACACTCATACACACACTGTTTCACACATGCAAGGATATAGTCTGAAAATTTGCAAAGAAAAAAAAAAAACAGATATGAAACTCACCTTCAGCGGAAGTCTCATGCGGTGCATCTGCTGCCGCAGCAGCATGTGCGACCCCTGCAGCAGCTGCAAAATTAGTGTGAATGCCACAACTGTCGTACGCACACACACATGCATGAAGTTGACAAACACATAGTTTGATACACACACTCACACACACACACACTTTCACACATGTGAGGATATAGTCTAAAAATTTGAAGGGGAAAAAAAAAAAAAATAGATATGAAATTCACCCTTGCATTGGAAGAACCATAGGAGCGAAAAAAAAACAGTCTGCTTCTTCGAAAATATAAAAATCGTAAAATTGAGAAAAACGTTATGCTTCAGCAAAAACACGAAGCATGCAAAGGTACGACACTCACATCATCTGACCGGAAGCCAACAACCTGCAAAGCTGCAACACTTGCACCACGTGCCTGAAAGTCGACAACCTGCAAATCTACAACACCCACATCATGTGACCACATTGCAATTAGAGCGAACAAAAAGGACGTCATCCACCACGGACGGATTAAGCTGGTTTCTTTTCTTCGTGACAGTGTTTCCTGCGTCCGCGAAATTGCACTCGCTCTTGGAACTAGATGCAAGAACACATAGGACTGCACGAGCAGCACGGGCCATGCTCGGTAGTGGTGGGAGCAACAGCTGGTCCTTTGCGTTCTTTGCGACAGTCTCTTTCGTCTTCCACCATACAAGGAGGTCAAACTTTTTCTTCTCTTCTTTTATTAGCTTCAAGCCGAAGTAGAACTCCAACTCCTTTCTTATGCGTTGTGCCAGCGGTAATGGCCTCATACGAGCGATGGGCAGGTCCTCCTCCCCATGTTCGTCCGTACTATACAATGTTAGCTCGTTGGGGACCTCTCTTGCGGGCGTTTTCTTTCTGCGTTTCAGTGACCGCCTCCCTTCTGTTGCTGCAGGTTCTTCGTTTGCCTCTGCACTTGTGTCTTTTACACTGTGCATAACCTCTTGCAAACAACTCTTTCCTCGCTCAACCTGGGTTTCCGACAACCCGAAACGAGCAAACCTAAGATCCATTTGTCGAGGGTCTAGCAAAGCTCCAACAATGTGGAGATCATCTAAGATCCATTTCTCCTGCAGCACATCCTTGGTCAACATCTTCACGGCTATGATGTCGTCTGAGTCTAATGGGATGGTGAACTTCTTACCATCAGGGTCCTCGCTGTTGTATGGCTCATTACGCGGTTTGCAGTACTCCAAGAGACTCGAACGAGAGCACTGCGCTCGAATGCGACAAGGTGCAGTGTTGGTTCAAATATTTCTCCAACCCAAGGGTGGCAGTCTGGAACCGTTTCAAGAACCGTGTCAGCTCTGCAAGCAAGTTCTTGTCAATTCGTGTGATGAGAAACTGTTTGTTCACCTGCCGATTCGTGTTGGTAAGCCTTGCGGGGACAATTGTCACATCATCGTAACTATCCAAAATGTTGTTAAGGGAAATCAGCTATGAATTCCACCGTGTTGCGTTCTCCTGCTTCAGTGTTTTGTTCAAACAGTTTTGAAGGTTGACTTGTTTGAAATACCGCACCAACTCCTTGGAGATGTCGATCATTTCAAACAGGTGTGGTGCATATTTATGATACTTATAAAACGACGGGGAGCAAACTCCATCTATTGTGGTTGTCGTCTTGTTGAACATTGTAGTGAAGACGGTCGCAATTTTATGGTCTGAGCACGCCATCCACTTGTAAACTTGCTTGATCCCTTCTGCTGCAGCCATGTTCGACCCACTGTCTGTGCACACCACACATTTGTCAACATCTGTGCAGCCGAATTCTTGAAGACACTCTTGGAATGCCTTGAGAACGGCTGGTCCGGTGTGTGAATCCTCGTGGGACGCTCTAACCTGCAAATTGTGTGCATGCAATTTAAACGTGATGTCGGTGTAATGCATGGTGATGAACATAAATGAGTTTTTTTTAACCTCGTTGTCCACATGTCCGCTGTAAAACCTGCATGCACACCGTCATTGAAATGGTCCTTCACCATTTCTTTCACCTTCTCATGGACGGAGGAGGCTGTCCCAACAACATGACGTTTGACAGTGTTGGGGACCGGCATGACCTTTCCCATGTGCATAGCCTTGCCCACAGCTACTCCCACGTCGCACGCTGCCTGTATAATATCTTAAAAGCCTTGGTCGCCTACCACGTTGAAGGGGCGCAAGTCTTTGCAGCACCACATGACGACCTTCTTGGCCATCCTGTTTTTTTGAGTTGTTGTGGGCACGACATAAGTTGCAAAAAGGTGCATGAGGCCTGCTCCTTCTAGCTCCTTGCGATAGTTGTGCTATCGCAAAGTACTTGTCCCATGTGTAGAGCTGAATGCATAGACTCTGAAGCAGCGTTTGCAGGCCACATATCCGCTGTTGTGCTTCCCTATGGGGGCGCCATCAGCGGAATGGACATAGACAAATGATTTCCGGATCTCGGAAGAGTTTTCGTTCTCATCTTTTAAAATGAAAGGAGGGTTGGTTCCCCTTTTTTTAAACGATGTCTGAATGACCACTTTAAAATGTTTCATATCAGTAATCGTCGCAGATGAATCCCCCGCGGCCGCGGTCACCGCTGGCACAACCGCGGACTGCGGTCGTGACCGCGGACCGCGGTCAARAAAAAAAAAAAAAAAAAAAAATCAGAAAAATCTTAAAAAAACTATATGTTATGCGAAAAAATTAACTGAACAACTTTTACCTTGAGATCATATAAAAACTCACTACCAAATTTGAGATAAAAAACAAACAGAAACCTTTAATTTTCTTACTAAAAGAATAAAATGAAGAACTTTTGCCCTAGGGATTTCTATTTTTCATTTTTTTTAAATCCAAAACAAAGTAAAAAAATTAAACTAAAAATATATGGTTGTAGAGCGCAAAAACACCTACGGCCCCGTTTTTTTTTTTTTTTTTGGCCTATTACCCTAGGAATTAAAAATGACGGGGTTTTCCGATCGCGGGCCTCGCCCGCAGCCGACCTCGGCGGTCGGGATCCCGACCGCGGGCCGAGATTGACCCCGCGGTCATGACCATGACCGCGGGGGATTCATAGGCCTGCAGTCCCGGTGCTTTTGTTGTGCTCCATCACCGCCGTTTTCTGTTTGAAGTCAGACTTATGTGAAGCGTCTGATGATCCAAACCCCTCTTGCCGAACAGGATCCATCAACAAGCGGGTAGTTGTGGCTTAATGATGTGAATCACAACACCGTACCCCTCACAATGCCACACCGCTGAGCTGTTATAACAGGCCCAAGTCCAATGGCACACCGCCAAGCTATTATAATACAGGCTCAAGTT